GTCCCCCGTCCGTCCCCCCCCCATGGCGTCGTCGCAGACACCATCTACGATGAGGACGAAGTGCTGTTGGCTTTGGCGGAGCAGCTCGGCACCTTCACCGCTTTGGTCGGGGGACCGGAGTTTGTCCACTGTCTCCTGGTATGGAGTGACCCCCCACCTCTGTCCCCTCCCCCGTCACCCGTGTCCCCTCCCCGGACATCCCTGTCCCCTCCTGACCCCTTCGTGGACATCTGGGTCCCACTCCAGGGGACCATTTGGGGCTCCGCGGTGGGACGTTGGGTCAGGTTGAGGTTGGGTTGAGGTTGGGTTCCTTGAGAGGACGTTGGGGACCGAGGGACCTACGAGGGGTGACCCCCTGGAGATGCCACCAGCACCTGGGGGGGACATCGGGGTCCTCAAGGGGGACATTGAGATGATTTGGTGGGACGCTGGGTTCTTCAGGAGGAGATTGGGCTCCGTGTTGGTCTCCACTGTGGGACGTTGGGTTGGTTGGGTGGAGGTTGGGTTCCTTGAGGGGACCTGAGGGACATTCGGGGGGTGTCAGGATTTAGGGGGTGACCCCTGGAGATGCCACCAGCACCTGGGGGGGACATCGGGGTCCTCAAGGGGGACATTGAGATGATCTGGTGGGACGTTGGGTTCTTCTGGAGGAGATTGGGCTCCACGGTGGGACGTTGGGTTGGGTTGGGTGGAGGTTGGATTCCTTGAAGGGTTTTTGGGGACCTGAGGGACATTCGGGGGGTATCAGGATTTAGGGGGTGACCCCTGGAGATACCACCAGCACCTGGGGGGGACATCGGGGTCCTCAAGGGGGACATTGAGATGATTTGGTGGGACGCTGGGTTCTTCAGGAGGAGATTGGGCTCCGTGTTGGTCTCCACTGTGGGACGTTGGGTTGGTTGGGTGGAGGTTGGGTTCCTTGAGGGGACGTTGGGGACCTGAGGGACATTCGGGGGGTGTCAGGATTTGGGGGGGGACCTCCTGTAGTTTCTCCCACCATCTGGGGTGACATTTGGCTGCTTACAGGGGACGTTGGGCCCTTTGGATGGATGTGGGGGTTGGTTGGGTGGACTTTGGGTCCTTTGGATGGCCGTTGGGGTTGGTCGGGTGGACGTTGGGCCCTTTGGGTGGACGTTGGGGTTGGTTGGGTGGACGTTGGGGTTGGTTGGGTGGACGTTGGGCCCGTTCGGTGGACGTTGGGCCCTTTGGGTGGACGTTGGGCCCTTTGGGTGGACGTTGGGGTTGGTCGGATGGACGTTGGGCCCTTTGGGTGGACGTTGGGCCCTTTGGGTGGACGTTCGGCCTGGTCGGATGGACGTTGGGCCCTTTGGGTGGACGTGGGGTTGGTCAGATGGACGTGGGGTTGGTCGGATGGACGTTGGGGTTGATCGGGTGGACATTGTGGGGACGTTAGAGACTTCGAGGAGGGACATCACAACGTAGAGGTGACCCCATCTCCCCCTCCCTACAGCCCCCCCTGGAGAGCCTGGCCACCGTGGAGGAGACGGTGGTGAGGGACAAAGCGGTGGAGTCTCTGCGGGCGGTGTCCCACGAACACGCTCCGCCCGACCTAGAAGGTCACTTTGTCCCCTTGGTCAAGCGCCTGGCGGGGGGCGACTGGTTCACCTCCCGCACCTCCGCTTGTGGCCTCTTCAGCGTCTGCGACACACGCGCCTCCAGCCCCGTCAAGGCCGAGCTGCGACAGTGAGTGACTTTCGCGGTGGCCCTGAGGTGGCTTTGGTGGCCCCACATCCACCCCGGTGGCCCCACGGGAGCTTTGGTTGGGCCCGGGCCGGGTTGGGTT